TATTGCCGACAATTCAAAGAATTACTTCCGTTTAATGTAGTTACATTGGGTTTTTTGATTAACCTTGGGTAAACCTTTGCGTTTTAAGTTCAAAGCTACCATACATTTCCAATGTTAACAAAAACACTTTTTTGCACATAGTAACAAAAAAAACACCACCATGGTGTTACTAGCTAAAGTTTTTTAACATCATAACTCGACATTTCTAAAATTTACGGTAAGGTAAATGTTTTTTATTAGATAATATATGGTAGCTAATTATAATTTATTCTCTTTCAGCCCTGAAGAAGCCAAATTAATTCTCTTTGGCGAAAACGTTCGGCGAAACAATTGATATTCATTAGCGCTTTTTTTGCAGATTTCCCCAATTTTTAAGAGTGTACTATTATATATATATATATATATATATATATATATATATATAATATATATATAATATATATATATATGCTGAGAACATTAGTGACGTAACCTCAAAAACGTAGTTTGTAGTAAAGTGCGTTTAAAGTTTTGGGGGAAATGCAATCTTTGATTGCTCGGTAGCTGACTGACTTATTGACGTAATTTTCGATTTTATTCATCTAGGTAAGCTGACAGTTCACATAATACAGTCGTTTAAACTGATGACAGGGGTATTTTGACAATTTTTTTTTTTCAAGTTACGTCATTAATGCATTCAAGTACGTGGAACTTTTAAGATTTTGTGCGGTATTAGTGACGTATTATTTTATTAATTTGGATAAATTTATTAAAAACATGCTAATAGAGTAACGCCTGTCAATAACGGTCACTAAAAATGACAGAACTATTGGCCGATATAAAAAGGTGGCCGCTTATACCAGGTTGTGTAGTCCACAAATTTTGGTTTGGGGAACTTTGTAACTTGCCGGCTAGTACAGGTGGCCAGTTTTGACAGGTGGTCGTTATAGATACCATTATAAATAAAAACTTAAGTATAAACATTCAAAACTTAAAATCAAAAATATTCCATAGAGTCGAAATACATCAGATAAAGAGAGAATTTTTTCAACGGAATATTATCCTGCGACCTTATAATTCAATGCATTGAGGAAAGGAGCATGTATAGGTGGTATAGATTTATTTTGGACGTGAGATTGTATGTCATCATACTTTTTCTTAATAATTTTGACTGGGGATAGATCATAATTTTGTAGTAGTTGAGTTATTCCGCTCCTTGTTTTATTATTTCTGATTATAACTTGCTTAAATTCTGTGCTGGTAACTATATCATTAAAGTTAAACTTTTCACCATTAATATTTACATTAAATGGCTGATCAGTACAATCGGATGTCATTTTTTTTAAGTCAACAAACTCATTATGAGCCATTTCATTGATTTTAAACATACTTCCTCGTTTACTAGCAATACTTATTATTGCTGAGTATTGAGCTGGTAGGAAAATGGGGCCCGATTTCAAAGCTCGTTTGATGTTTTTTTCGATTATGGAGTGACTACTGTCACCTTCGTTTTGACCATGTCCCACTTCAAAAAATTTATGGATAATACTTTTTATTTTGAAATTAGTAACTGCATACAAAAAGGTGGTTACAACAAATTTATTTTTGCCTTGTCCTCCACAGTTATCTGAAAAGAAGACTACTTCCAAATTTTCAGAGTGAGCTCCATTAGCCGTTTTTCTTAAATATTTAAGTAGGCAAGAACCTATTTCAATGGATCCACGACTCCCTTCTCCTTCATGCCAAATATAGCACTCTACAGGACCAAGTCCTTTTGTTGAAGGCTACAAACTGTAAAATTGTAGCAATTTAAACGAGACTTATAATAAAAGGCTGAAACGTTACTTTTAGGAAGTGGTAGAGCTGCTTGTAAATCGAAACAAGCTACGTGGTATAAGTTGGTAATATTGCTTTTGTCTGCATTTTTTCTTGTCTGCTTAAGTTCTTTTCTAGAATATGAGATTCGTAATCATTTTTAAGGGCATTTTTACCATCCAGGTCAGAGTTCTCATAAGTTGTACATCTAAGGCACTGGTTTTTTTTGGTGTATGAAATGACATGTTAAAATCATAATTGAAGATATGCCTGTACATAGACAACTTTCCATGATTTTTCCCACTATCATTACACCACTGAACATAATCACGGTACAGATCCATCACTGTCTTGCCTCCATCGATATACTTTTTCTGAGTATTCGCTCTTGTGTAATGACTCTCTACTGCAGGTATTGACGATAAGTGTTGATGCATACCTTTTTTATTTTTTCGGGTACCTTATTTTTGCCTGTTTCACCCCTCTTTTCACTTTCCAAAAATCCGTCTTGCCGTTTTGAAGCTGTGGTTCTAATGAATCTTTCAGTGATCCCTAATGTAGATATAAAATATCTCTCCCCTCGTACTCATTTTTGAGACAAATTGGCACAAATTTAATGTTTATAAGCAATTGACACCAATGATTAACTAGTTTAAGTCAACAGTATATTAGTATTAACTGATTTGTTTATCATGCACTACTGACAAGTTATTGCACTACTGACGTAAGTCAAGGTTCGTCACTAAGTATCTAAGCTTATGCTCAAACTCTTGTCACTGTCCAGCGTACACTGAGTTGCGCCACTAATGCATGCAGAAGTGGAACTAAAAGTCACAGAATATTACTGACGTATAGCGCCATCAAGTGATTTATAGTAGAATTATACTTCCGTCATTAAAGCATAATATCAAGTTCAATATTAGGAGTATGTCTAATAGGTTAAGTCAAAATTGGTATTTTTTGAGTTACGTCACTAATGTTCTCAGCAAGCGATATATATATATATATATATATATATATATATATATATATATATATATATATATATATATATATATATATGTATATATATATATATATATATATATATATATATATATATATATATATATATATATATATATGAACCTATGTTAGAAGTGTTTTGTTTGTAATAATTTTAGTTTTTCTTTGGATATTTCTTGCATGGAAATGTTTTTAAAGTCTATAGTATGTCCTATTCGTAAAGTTTATTTTTCTTTTAATTTATTAGCTTGTTTTGTTGGTAGTAAACACTATCGAGCCAAGATATGTCAAGATATCAACACGTTCAAAGATATAACTTCCAAAGACTTTTCCCGTTTCTCATTTGTTATAAGATCCTTAGTACCCAACATGTACTTGATTTTGTGTGTGTTGATGACTAGGCCGACCTGTATCGCCACCGTTTCCAATTCTATAGCATTACTTAGCATCTACCTTGCTTCGCCCTATTATGTCAATGTCATCAGTGTATGCTAACATTTGTATCGATCTATTGTAAATAGTACTGCCGTTTCTAATTTGTGTGTCTTGAATTACAATTTGCAGGGCAATATGAAATAGGAGGCAAGCAAGGACATCGCCTTGTTTAAGTTCATCATTTATCTCAAAGGATCGAGAATTTTCTTCCTGTATCTTAACGCTGTCTTTTAAGTTAGTCATTGTCGTTCTCGTTACTCGGATAAGTTTTTCTGGTAGACCAAACTCATGCATTGGTTTGTATAGTACTGTTCTCTTGACACTGTCGTATGCGGCCTTGACGTCGACGAATAGGTGATGGGCTTCGTATCCGGTATGGTATTTTCCAACTATGACAACTTCGTAAACTTGTAGCCTTTCGTAGTAAATATTTGCTAGCAATTTGTAAGCAGTGGTTAATAGAATTGTACATCTGTAGTTATCATACTCGTGCTTCAAAAAGGACAAAGACTCACGTGTAAGAAAATCACTGGTACAATTAGATCGTGCTTCATAGCAATCTTAAAAATAATGCAAGACCTTTTCTCTTATTTAGTTATCCCAGATATCTACGCTATTAAAAAAATATCTCCCAAAAATTTTCGTACACATCTGAAGTAGTATAGATTTCTACATAGTCATATAAAGATATTCATTCTGACCCAGCTTCTTACGTTTTCTAGGAAGATTTTTAAAATTACTATAATAGTAGTGTAGAGAGAATAATAGATATTGTCTGAATACGCTCCATTCTTCATTGTCTTCGAATTTAAATCTTCCAAAGTTTGTGTACTTGGCGATATTTTCATTGTGTTTATCATGTAGGTATTGTCGTTAGATCACGCTAGATCACGTTAGATCATTGGGTTATCATGTATCGTTAACACCACCTATCGTAATCCTTCTTCTTTTAAACACTTTCTCTTGTTCTTGTTCGAGCTGTATTTTTTCTTGAAATTCCTCTTTGAGATTTTGTGATTGCACATAGTATCTATAGTAATATTAATAGACTGCCCGATGTAAAGTCAATGGTAAACCTAAAAAGAGTGAAATACTAACACCGTACCCAATTGCGATGTTTGTTATTCTAGAAGCTGAATTAATCACTGTTTGAGCAAAGTTCTATAATTATCGCTATTTTTCTGAATCTCATGTTAAAGTGCTGATTTGGCATTCGTGCCTTCTATAGAAAAGATGTTCGTGTATATAAACAATAAACAGTTCTTTGAGTCAACATAAATTCGACAAGTGTGTTCTTAAGCAATCTTCATGATTATTGTACGCTATAATTATTAGTTCATTTAGAATTATTCATGACATTTGTTATTTAGTGAGTTAAATAAAGCTAGTTAATCTACGTGTACTTCACTTACCCCCTGAACCCACAGAAAAACGTAAGACTATTATATTTAAAAAAATATTACAGAAAAAACTAATGAATATACAAGATACTACAGAACAAATACATCGAATAATTTGCTAAAGGTATTTCATTAGAAATGTTTAATTTTGATGTCACCCATCACCACCTAAAGCTAATTTTCAAAAAAATTATGATAATTTTTTTAACTGATTTTATAATTTTTGCTATGGGAAGAGCTTTGATAATATTTTTAAAGTTGACATTGTTGTTAAAATTTTAATAACTGAAACATTTTTGCTTAACTGCTAAATCTAGGATTGTATACTTTCATATTGTATACAAGCAAATTTAAAACAATAATTACCAATGCAATTTCTAGGTCCTGCACTAAATGGAGTATAGATATAAGGGTTAGTTCCACGTGTATCCTCGAATCTCCCAGGATCAAATTTTAATGGATCTGGAAAGTATTCTGGATCCCGATGAACTGCGAACGTAAATAATATTACAGTAAGTCCCTTTGGTAATACTTTTCCATCTAAAAGTAAAACAGGTACAGGTAGTTATTAAATCAGATTACAAAAGTTTGATGATAATTCTTCCGATAAATCAATAAAATTGTTCGATAAAAAATGTAAATAAATGTCACCATTCAAGGTAATTTGTATATTTCCAAAAAAAGATTACCAATGGTTCCAAACCATACGACATGCATTTTAAATATAAATTTTAAATAAACGTATGGTCTGAAAACATTGATTGGTAATGATTTTTTACGGATATGCGAATTACCGTGTAATTTAAATGGTGAGATTTATCTACATATTTTATAAAATGATTCTATTGATTTATTAGAAGAATTGTCATAAAAGTTAAGGCCAATTTATGTGCTTTATACAAGATGTACCATTACATTACAAAGACAGGAGATTGAGAACAGTATTTAAATACAACTTTCCTGGACGTTGGATTGTTCGTGATAGTCATATTCCTTGGTCATGCGGTGAGATATTAACATAATTATTTAATGTATAAAAATCCCAAAACAATAGCTATTATTGTACTTATATAATTATATAATACTTATAATATCTTACTGCAACAGTTTCTTTAGAACCAATGATATTATTTAATATGAGACGATCTTTTATGGAATATATTGACAAAATGAATTAAAGAACATGGTGGACATATTGAACACCTACTTTGACAAAAGTAAAACAATATAGTTACACTTTTTTTAGTGTTACTATTTTTTAATTTGGTTTGTAAATAAAATGTTTTTATTATGACTTTACTTTAATATAAAACGTAAAATGTTTGATGTAAAATAACATTGTTCTTTTATTTTTCAAACCTATTATTAATTATTCTGCTGATATATTTATTTTATTTATTATTTCGTTAACTTTACTAAATGTATTTTATACAAAATTCCAGAAGTATTGATGTTTTTCTTTAATTTTCTTTCGTTGCCAGGAGTAATTGCGTTAAATCAGAATTATGTGGTTGATTTATAAACTACGATTATCTCGAAAACTATTGAGTTTTGAAGGTATCGACAAGTATACCTTTTTTTTGTAAAAATAATGTATCTTTAATATTTTTCTATTAAAAATACCGGGAACTTAAAGAGCAAAAAAGTGAAATGTAAATGTATGCCACATATGTGGCTTATGTGGCGCCCTCTATTAGCTACAATAAAATATCCCTCAAATGAACAATGATGTTCAATAGTACTCAGTTTTAAATTTTTATACATAAATGTTAACAAACTTGAAAGTAATAGCGAAAAATAAAATTTTAAATTTCCACTTTAACACCGTGTATCTTTCTTAATATCAAAATTTTATTAAAGAAATTTGGCTTAAATCCTAATATTTTAAAGTGTAGAATCTGCGGTTTCTTTTTGTACAATTTCTTAAAGACCACTCTGGATATACATATATATCTCAGTATCAGTAGTCTATTGAATAGCAATTAAACTTTTCTTATTAACTGGTTATCAAACCCATCTCTCATATGATTATTTCGACAAAGTAGAAAAAACTTACCGTACTCTACATCTTCAGTTAATTCTCGTCCTATATACGGCACAGAAGGGTACAATCTTAGAGTTTCCTTGATTACCAACTCTAAATATTTCATATCATTTAAATGTGCAACAGTTGGTTTAGCTGTTTTTAAATCAGGAAAAAGGTATTTCTGTTCCTCATACGCCTGTTGCTGTAATTAGTAGTACTGTTTATAAAAATTATTTTATATACATATATATATATATATATATATATATATACATATATAAATATATATATATATATATATAATATATATAATATATATATATAATATATATATATATATATATATATATATAAACTAACCTAAAATAAATATAAAAAATAGAAGAGATATGGAAACTTGTATTCACTACATAAGCAAATATTAAGTCGTCAATTCATTTTGTTTGAGCATTGCCATAAGCCAAACGAAATTTGCCAAAATGTATAGTTTCGATAACACCTCATTCGTTTATGTAAACAATTTTTGTTTTTATTCATGGCTCGCGATTCAATCACTACTTAAAAAGTGACAAACGAGGGAGGTGCTTTTGGAGTTCTATTTTTAGACTCGCGAGAAAATAAAAACGCACAGCACAATTACAATATGTGTGATTGTGTTATAGTATACCATAATGCAGTTTGATTGAAACATTGATTGTATCAAGTAGTCATTTGAAAGATTAAGTTTTAAAAAATGGAGTCTTCCACATCTCAAACTTCAAAAAGAAAACATGTTGTTTTGCAACTGAAAACAAATTAAAAAATTATTGTGGAACTAAAGAAAGCTGTTTCTGCTGCCGCCTTGAGCAAAAATTATGATATTCCAAGAATATCAATTAATGATTAAAAGAATATGGCTGAAGACAATAAAAAAACCCACAAATTAATCACTCGAGCTGGTCTGTATTTGTGGTTCGTTCAAAAAAGAAACGAGGCATTCCTTTGTCCGAACCAATTGTTGCCGAAAAACCGTTGTTTTTAAACATGAAATTGAATGGCGTTTCTTCATTCAAAGGAAGCAGCGGCTGGTTCGAAAAGTAAAAAAATCGTCACAATATACATGAACTGAAAATCGAAGGTAAAAAGTTGAGCGCGAAAGTGTTGAAGATGTTACGAATATAAAATAAAGTTTCGAGCTAAGATCGACGAATATGGTTTAACAAATTACTATTTACAAATACAAACTACAAATTAAGGAAGTTATGGCTGAATCAACTGTTTTGTTTTCACTGCCTAAAGATGACATTAACTGATTAATTAGTTTTTGATGAGGACGCAAACGGCTATCGATTGCTGACAGATGATGAAATCGTTGAAATGGCAGCAGAGGCGAACGAAGCAGATTCGGAAGTTGACACGGCCATTTGGGAAATTGACGGTATTGACCACACGGGTGTTTGACGGTAGCGATGTCGATGATGCTATTGCAACTGACAAAGATTTACGCTACCCAATAAGCACAAGTACGTACATAAGACATACTAAGTATGTACTGATGGGACATAAAGTACGTACAATGTACGTACTTTGCTGTACCAAGTACGTACTTAATATGTACATAAAACGTACATTTTTCAAATTATGGTACGTACCTAGTACATATTGAAGGTATTTACTTAGTACATACTATATATATATATATATATATATATATATATATATATATATATATATATATATATATATATATAAGAGTAAGAAAAAAGAAGTACTTGTGACTCGTTTGGAAAAAATATAACACTGTTTTTGATGGGTTGGAGTCAATAAAAGGGGCTATTTGTTGACTATTTTTTACTCGAGCTTTCAATTTTGATTACAATTTTTATCAAGAGCTTCTAAAAAATACAAAATATCTTACCAAGTTGAACTAGAAATAAAAAATTTTTTGTTAACTCACCAAATAAAATTAGTTTTTTATATAAAACTACTGCTTACATATTAAATACAAAAAATATTAATAAAAAAATGTCTTATTCTAATAAATGTTTCTCTGAAAAATTTTGATGAAGTTTCTTAAGAAAAAAATTGAATTTGTAAACAAAAATAGAATAGCGACAACCAGCCTAAATGTCATAAATACTAACTTAAAAAGTTTTATTTTTGACATATTGTCAAAAATAAAATTTTGTTTAAAAAATTCTTCCTTGTTTAGTAACAAAAAAGAAGAAGATTTATTCACCATTGATAGATGCCCGAAAAAATGTAACAAATACATGGAAAATTCAAAATGTGATATTTTACTGACTGCATATATAAATTAAATAGAAATTATATAATTATAAATTTTGCTTAAATTTTTAATTTCTGACCTTTTGTTTAAATTATTATCACTTTTGCTAATACAAACCATTTCCAAAAAAGTTCTTTTAAATTTATTACTTTCATTACATAAAATTTTAATATTATCAAAATCCATAATATGGTTTTTGTCTATTACATGCTCTACCAAAGCACAAGATGGTTTCTTAATTCTACAATCACTCTTGTGAGAAATAATGCGATTTGAGAGGTTTCTTCCAGTCTCACCAATATAAAGGTCAGAAATTCAAAATTTAAGCAAAATTTATAATTATATAATTTCTATTTAATTTATATATGCAGTCAGTAAAATATCACATTTTGAATTTTCCATGTATTTGTTACATTTTTTCGGGCATCTATCAATGGTGAATAAATCTTCTTCTTTTTTGTTACTAAACAAAGAAGAATTTTTTAAACAAAATTTTATTTTTGACAATATGTCAAAAATAAAAATTTTTAAGTTAGTATTTATGACATTTAGGCTGGTTGTAGCTATTCTATTTTTGTTTACAAATTCAATTTTTTTCTTAAGAAACTTCATCAAAATTTTTCAGAGAAACATTTATTAGAATAAGACATTTTTTTATTAATATTTTTTGTATTTAATATGTAAGCAGTAGTTTTATATAAAAAACTAATTTTATTTGGTGAGTTAACAAAAAATTTTTTATTTCTAGTTCAACTTTGTAAGATATTTTGTATTTTTTAGAAGCTCTTGATAAAAATTGTAATCACAATTGAAAGCTCGAGTAAAAAATAGTCAACAAATAGCCCCTTTTATTGACTCCACACCCATCAAAAACAGTGTTATATATATAATATATATATATATAATATAAATATATATTATATATATATATATAATATATATATAATATATATATATATATATGTATATATATATAAAATATATAATATATATATATATATATATCGTCATCTAGTTCAATACTGCCACAACTCCAAAAATTCCAATTTTGAGTTAAGGCTTTAAAAAGGTTGCATATATGATACCCCATCTAATGCAATACAACCTTAACTGAAATATTGTCTTGGATAAGTATAAAGTAAGATATTTCGGTATTACACTGTAGGGTTTTGAAATGCAATATGGCCATAACTAGGAGATGTGGCGATAATACACTCCGCCACAATACAACCGATGTAATTCAATACGGCCACAACTGCAAAAATTGTTAGATTAGTGGTACGATTTTATCAGTTCTCAATTATTTATGCACGAGGTATCCACGTTTTTAGTGTACAACTATTTTATTTAAAGTCTGAAAACAGTGTATAGTGATATTATTATTAACTTTATCAAACACGATGCCAAGGGCAAGAAAAATGCTTGGACTAGCTTTGCAAAGCTATCTTAAAGATGATGAGAATCTGAGAGACAATTCAGAGGTTTCTGAGGTTATGAATGACACCTCCTTTGTGTTGACGGAGGTTTGTATTTCAACAAAAATCACAGTGAGGTTTTACCAAAACCAAGTGAATGGAAACGAAATACTAAGAAACTGCGAGTTAACTCTGGGCTACCTTACATTACAGAAGGCAACAAAGAAAAACGTGGGAAGACTTTAAAACCTGCATGTGAAGAAAAATGTCGTACAAAATGTAGCCAAAAATTCAGCAATGCAGATAGATATGATATACATTCACGTTTCTGGAATTTGAAAGACAACGCTCTTCAAAGACAATTTGTTGCTTCCCATTTGGAAAAGTTGGTTACTAAATACAGAAAAACGGTTGAAGGCAGTAACCGCGGTATGAATTTAGCGTATTTTTTTAACAATACACGGAGTAAAAGTTAAACATATCCATAATAAAATTAGAAGCAGAGAAAAAAAAGCACAAGATCTAGCAAGAGCAAAAGATGATTCTCAAGTATTGGTAGCTTGTTTTGATTTGCAGGCGATCCTTCCTACACCTTGTGGAGATGTTTCAAGCTTCTACTATAAATGCCGCCTGAACTGCTTCAACTTTACAATTTTTCAGATATTGCAAAAGACTGGTTACTGTTACTGTTGGCACGAGGCTATTGCTAAGCGCGGCTCAAACGAAATAGCTACGTGTCTCTTTTACTATCTTTTAAATCATTGTAATGATAAAGACGTTATATTTTATAGCGACAATTGTGTTGGGCAAAATAAAAATAAATTTATAGTTACCATGTATCTCTATGCAATTGAAAAAATTAATGATAAATCAATCACACATAAATTTTAACAGAAAATACCTAAAACAGGTCCCATTTATGTTCCTGCACAATGGCCTGTCATCATAAGATCTGCAAAAAAAGAGGGAAATCCTTACAATGTAAAAGAAATGTCAACAGAAGACTTTTATGACTTTAAAGATCTCAATTCAAAAATTGGAGGAAATTTTACAAAGAATACAAAAGATGAAAAGGTAGTCTGGAATGATATCCAAGTTATTAAAGTTGTCAAAAGCAATCCTGGATCTTTCTTCTATAAAACAGATTATAATGCCGATGAGTTCGAAGAGGTCCATTTTAAAGCATCGACAAGGGGGCGTTCAGCAATTGTGGAAGAAGTAATCGATTTAAAAAAGGCGTACATAAAGCCTCCATCGATATCCGCAAAAACCAAGCAACACCTTTTGGAACTGTGCAATAAAAATTTAATATTACATGTTCATCACAATTTTTTTAAGGACTTGGTTAATAGTAATTAAAAAAAATGTTCATACACACTTGTGATAATAATAATAAAAATATTTTTTGTAAGAACTAGTTGATTTTTTTTATTATGTTGCCGCCGTATCTCCTATTTATCGTTTTATAAATGACTTTCTTCACAATGCAATATCGCCATAACTATCAAAATACAATTA